ATCGGCTCTAACAAGCGATATAATCTTGTAATGGTTTACTACAAGAGGGTGATAAATATTTGTTGAATAGAATGCCTGAAGTGCCATTTTATAAGTTAAAATCTCTCTCAATATGTGCATGAAATCTAGGTGGGGTGTTCAGAGGTATTCATCAGATATAGACACTAGGATAAAACATTTTGCATTTTTCAAAAATCTGTAGTTTATTTGATGGTTTTTAGAAAATAGACTTTACAAGGCAGCATTTATGTCGTTGAGTCAAAATATAGCCTATAAAAAGTTGTTAATTTCCAAACATTTCTTCTTGATTGTCTTACTAGGTACTAGGATATTCTTTGGATTATCACAAATAATTAAACCAGTGGTGCAGTTTATTTCATAGTCTTGTTTAACTCTGGCACACCTGGACATGTCAAAGCACATGACCTTGTTTTCAAAATCCTGCTTTCTATTTGAAATGGAAGTGTAACATTAGAGTACTTTATATAAAATATAATTTAGTAACTAGTTACCAGTCTTTAGCCAGCAGGTGGTATAGAATATAGTTTTTTGATTTTTGAGCAGTCCTTCTGACTTGGCCACATCAAATTTGAATTTCAAGGAATGTTAGAAACAGGCCATCACTAGATGGCAGTCTTTCTCTAGTTTAAGTCATTTGTTGGGGGGAGGGGGAGGGGCAAGCTACTCTTAGTTCAAGTACAGTGTTGACTACCAATATTAGGTTAAACTTCTCGGTCTGTGACCTTTCCAGAATTTAAGACTTGTTTATATTTGTTTTTAGCATTTTATATCTGATAGATATATTGGTTTACACTGAATAAAGCTGTGTATATAGTTTGAAATGCTGATTTAAGGTGAACTGTTAGGCAGTGATCAATAATTGCCTTTACCTATGGTAGACAACTAGATATAAAACCTTTAAATCAGTGGTTTTTGACCTCTTTGATAACCAGATGGAAACTATGGAAAAGTTTCCCTTAAAATTACATATATGTGCTTCTGCCTGTACACACAAAATTCACATACAGTCTGGAAATTGTGGATTACCTGATGCTTACCACAGAACACAAGTCCCAAAACCCTGTTTTAAATATGTGGGTATTACATTTTATTCTAACTTTTAAAAATTCTCAAGATACTGAGGGGATCCACTGTGAATCTTTCATGTTATTATTCGACATTATTTTAATTAAAGACAGTATTAGAATCATAAAGGCCCTAAAGATAGGAGAAACAGTCAGGGACTAGTGATGAGGGTATAGAAAATTCATTAACTTGTTTTGAACCACCTGTTTAGGCTATTCTGAAAATGTATGATCTTTACATTATTATTAACTGAACTTGAAAGTGGAAGTGAATTGAGGAGACTTAGAGCTGAGCTGATACTTCAGAGAATATGTAATTGATTGCTTCCTATTCTCTAAATGAGAGAGCTGAGGATCAGAGAGATTAATTTAGTTGGCCAAAGACTCATAGTTAATTACATTGCTAAAACCAAGGCCACACAGCCAGGTAGCTAAAATCCATGTTTTCTTTCATTGATTTGTATATATTTTTATAGGAAGTTTAAGGAGCTGGGGAGTCACTATTAACATGTTATAAATTTCTTAACTTTGGGATTTTCTTCTTGGGCTATCTTTTGTAATATTAATGCAAATCTTTGGAAGGGAGAAGTGAAAAGCTTTATGTAGTAAAAGGAAGTAGACTTGCTACTTAGAAGTATTACTGGTTCAAGATATAACTGAATTTGAAAGTAAGAGTTATCTAATATTGAATAATGTCTGCTTATGCCATTTAGATTGATAAGTTTTCAGTGATCTTTTCTCATCTTCAAATGGCAAGGAATATTGGTGTCTTTACATGGAAACCTTTCTTTACCTTGTGTTTTTTTTTAAAGGTTACACTTATTTGAGGTTAGTTGAAATGTCAATGGTAGTGGATTGTCTTGTGTATTCCAAATAGCTCCTTCAGGCAAGTAGTTATTCTGTAGTGTGTCTTAATTGTCAAAGCAGGATTTTTTTTTATAACTTATTTGAAGGTCTCTTCCTTTTATTTCAAAAGAAGGAGAATTAATCTAGATTGCTCTGGCTTTTCTAAAGTAAATGTTCAGACTTTTTACTGGAAGCCAAACTAGTTTATGTGTTGTTTGTGCTTACTGCTGAGTTTTGGACGATGGAACTGACCTGCTCAGGAGAGGGTGCTGTTTGATCCACGGGATCAGGGTAGTGATTCAGGACTCAAAATGATTATAGAACCAGAAAATATTGGCAATGAGCAAATGTATATTTGTTGAACAAATGTTAGAGATTAAAGAGGTCTTAGAGATAATATTAGTCATTCATTTAGTCAACAGATGTTTACTCACTGCCTACTACCTGTCTGGCCCTTTTCTAGAGGTACAATGGTGATTATGGCAGACTCAAGTTCTTGCCCTGGAGGTTATAGTCTGATAGGGATGGGTTAGGGGGAAAGATAGACAAACAATGGATGATGAGGAGAAAGTTGTTTGAAGATATAAGGGGCAAGCATTACTAACATAAAAACAGCAAAAACAAAATGTTAAGACAGGAAGACTCTAAAAACAAAATCTAATGTAGTTGGAGCATAGAGGGGGTAGGGAGGCTAGGGGTGGGAACTAGAGAGAAGAGAAATGAGGTTAGAGAGATAGAAGCTAGATTATGTACACTCTTGTAGGCCATGGTAATGATTTAAGGTTTTTATTCTTTTTGTAAAAAGAAGCCCTAGGAGAGATATAAGCAGAGGGACAGCATCTGAATTATGGCTTTAAAAAGATAGTTTTAACTGCTGTGTGTAGAGTGTGTGCATTGGGTAGGGAGTGGGGGAGATGAGTGGAGAATGGAGACTTTTAGGAGACTATTGTATTGTTACAATGTGGCAATGACTCAGATATGTACTAGGGTTTTTGTGGAGATGGTGATGTGGACAATTTTAAGATATGTTTTAGATGCTGAGTTGTCAGGACTTTAATGGTTTGGGATGGGGTATATGGGATGTATGATGGAAAGAGATGGATTAGGTGTGATTCCTAGATTTGCATTTTTGACTTGGGTAACTGGATAGTGCCATTAGCTGGGGGGAGGGGGT